ATTTCTTCACTCAGAGGTTAGTGAATTTATGGAATTCACTCCCCCAGAAGGCTGTAGATGTCAGTCCTTGAACATTTTCAAGGCTGAGACTGATAGATTTTTAAAAAACAGAGGGATTAGGGGATATAGGGATAGGGCAGGTAATTAGAGTTTGGTCAGAAAATCAGCCATGATCTTATTGAATGGCGGGGCACAGCTCGAGGGGCCGAATGGCCTACTCCTGCTCCTAATTCTTATGTTCTTAGGATGGAGTGGTCGATAGTGTTGAAGTGCAGAGAGGTCAAGAAGGCAGAGGGCGCCCTGATCATAGATATTCAGACCATCATTAGTGACTTGGACCCGGACTGTTTCCGTGCTGTGGGCAGCTCGGAAGCTGGATTGGTGGGGGTTCAAAGACAGGGGTGAGAAAGAAAGGAGCGGAGCTGGGACATGATGACTTTTTCCAAGACCTTGGAAAGGAATGGGAGATTAGCGATCGGGCAGTAGCTGGAGAGGAGGAATGGGTCCAGGGAAGATTTTTCAAGATGGGGGTGATGACGGCTGTTTTTAGTGGGGTGGGAACTGAACTAGTGGACAAGGAGAGTTGATGATGTCGGACATGAGGGGCCAAAAGGGATATAAACAGTAACACTGAGTGAAACGATAATTTGTTCTGATTAACACTCAGCTGACCCTGCTCTGCTTAGGCCTATCTGCTCGTTGTCGTCACAGTGACAGAACAAAATAGCCGTAGAGGAGTTGGAATCATTATCAGGACAAATAAAAAAACTCTTATTTTGTCTGTATGTAAAGAGCATTGGCTCTTGCTGTGTGAACTCTGGCAATGATCTGCTGGTGGAAATCCACAGCATTCAGTCCGCGAGTGAGATCGCTTTTCTGAATCACCATAAAAGCAGTTCTGCTAGTTAGTTAATTGTGATACAACCAGTTCTGCAGCAACTTAGAGAAGGTAAGTTCGTGCATTTTCAGTCTTCCAGTGTGGCCTGAGATAGTATCTTCTGCAGAACAAAGCAACTCACTGCTGCAATAGTAATTGAGAGGGAGAGCTTTTCTTTACTCACCTCTGACACATGTGGTCAGGACATTGGGACATAGTTTCAAACTCAGCTTGATTCTATAATGATGATAATAATAATCCTCGCATTTAATAAAGTGCCTTATCACATATTCGAGACATCTCAAAGCGCTTCACAGGATACACTGTAAAGTGTAGTGACTGTATTTTGTAGGTGAAATGCAGCAACCAATTACACACAGCAACGTCCCACAAACAATCGTGGATTGAGCGACCAAATCATAATTTTTTTTAAAAGTGATTATTACCCCTGGAAAGCCAACCGACTAACCATCAGGTTCCTACTTACTGCCAGGTAAACAGGCATGTGAAGGAAGAAAAAATTGCCTAATGATTTGGGGTGGGAGGAGACAGCAAGGTGGGAGTTCTGGAAGGATAAGAGCAGATTTCTTAATCTGAACCAATCTTGCACAATTAGCTCTACTGCGCAGTGGGCATTAATTGGTAAGATAATGATAATAATCCTTGTATTTGATATAGCGCTTTTCACATCGGGAGGACGTCCCAAAGCGCTTCATAGAATAGACTGTAAAGTGAATTGACTGTATATTTGTGGGCGAACGCGGCAGCCAATTGCGCACAGCAATGTCCCACAAACAGTCGTAGATTGAAAATGACCAATTTATTATTGTTTTTGGTTTTGGAGGGATTATTATTAGGCTCTGTGATAGCATTGAAGCTGAAGGGGGCAGATGATGGAGAAGGACAGGGTGGGCAGTGAGGAGGAGAAAGAGGATAATAAATGGATTTCAAAGTACCAGCACACGCAATGAGACAAATAGCCTTCTGTGCTCAGAGTTTCCATGCTTCTCCTACCTCATATTACTAGAGTGTCATCTTGGACCACCTTTTTAGTCGGTCAACCAAATAATTTTTTCTTGACTGAATATTTCTTGATTTAGGGCCACACCACAAACATCGCTACTCAATAGCTACCGGTAATCCCATACTGATTTAACATCTAGACTCGTGCGAATGTTCAACCGGCCATCTTTGTGAAATCAGGAAGCATTTTCTTTCCCCACAAAGTTTAGTGGAAATCTAGAAATCTCTTTCTCCCACCTCCCCCCCCACCCCCCCAAACTGCGGAAGCTGCCAGATCTCCTGAGCTGGAGATGAAACGGTTCCAAACTGAGCCAGGCTCAAATTTTCAAAACTGAGTTGGATGGATTTTTGTTAGGTCAGGGTAAGGGACATGGTGCAAAGGCTGTTAATTGGAGTTGAGGTACAGATCAACCTGCCTCCGACCGTACCTTACACCAAATTCAGCCCGCATACTGACCCGGACCAAACTCCCTACCCACATCTCACCAGTTCTGGCCCATGCTCTAATGGCTCCCCATCACCATCACTGAACAGATCGACCTCAAGATCCTCACACTCATTTTCAAACCATTCACTCTCTGGCACCTGCCTACCTCTCTGACCTCTTCACTTCCCAATCCACCTCTTGGCGACTCTGCTCAACTGGCACCGGCCTCCTGCTTGTCCCTCGCACCATAGGAGGTCACTCTTTCAGCCTCTATGCCCTGAAACTCTGGAACACTCTTCCTCAATCCCTCTGCCTTGCCCCTCGCTCCCCTTTTTTAAGTCCCATCTGAAAATCTTCCTTTTTGATTTTGCTTACAGTCATCTTCTCCCCCCTCCTCCCCAAACCTGGCTCGAAGCCATGCTCTGCCACTGTTAAGTGCTCTGAGATGCTACCCTGTGTGGTGGGCAAATTATTGTATACATACATATATACAATAACTTGCATTTATGCAGCACCCTTCACACTGGGCGGCAGCTCAGAGCTTAACAATGGCGGTGCCTGAGGTCGAACCAGCGGTGGGGGGAGCCAAGGATGGTGGGATTTAAACACCAAGAGTGAAGATCTTGAAGTGGATCCGCTCTGTGACAGGAGCCAGTGGAGAATGACAAGCACTGGATAATCGGGGTGCAGCGTTTAGTGCGGTTGAGAATGCAGGCGGCGGAGTTTTGAATGAGCTGAATTTTGTGAATAGTAATAATAATCGTTGCATTTGATAAGGAGCTTTCACGTTTTCGAGACGTCTCAAAACGCTTCACAGATTAGACTGTCAAGTGAATTGACTGTATATTTGTGGGCGTAATGGGCAGCCAATTGCGCACAGCAGTGTCGCACAAACAGTTGTGGTTTGAAGTGACCAATTTATTATTGTTTTATTTTCTTGAGGGATTATTATCAGGCGTGTGGAGTAAGGAAACTTGCTCAAGGTTTCACCCTGACGGGAATTGAACCCAGGTCTGTCGCTTGCAAAGCGAATGCTCTAACCACTTAGCTACAGGCCTCCATGGAGAGGGGAGACAGGTGAGGAGGGAGTTAGAGTAGTCCAGCCGAGAGGTGACAAAGGCATGACAAGAGTTTCAGCAGCTTTTGGGGTGAGGTATTGTCGGAGATGGGCAATGAATGTGGCAGAAGGTTGAAGAATGCGGTGTTTTTTTTCACCTCCGCCACATAAATGCAGGTTATTGTTCTTGTTGTTGATCTAATAGAATGGTGGAACAGGCTTAAAGGGACTGAATGGCCACTCCTATTCATATATTCCCAAGGGCCATGGGTTGGCCACCAGTGACTTAGACTGTGAGTCCCTAAGGTGGGGCTTGAATCAGCAATCTACTGAGCTGGAGATGAAACGGTTCCAAACTGAGCCACGCTCTCGACTTATATAACTGCTAAATACCTGTGAGATGAGATTGTAAACCAGCTAACACTTGAGCCTCTTTGGATTCAATGCAGAAAAAAACACATACTGTTGACTTTAAATATGGTATTTTAATGCTCTGTAATATTAGCCAAAAATATTTGAATCAATGACACATCCATTCAATCGAAGTTCATGAGACTGATGGGGACAACAGTTTTGAGCTTATTAGGAACTCGATGGATAACATAACAATAAGAACTTGCATTTTTATAGCATCTTTCACACAGTAGTAGCTACCATTTATATTATATATAGCATTTATATTATATATAACGCCCATCATGTAGGGTAGTGCCTCGGAGTGCTGTTCAGCAACATTCACACAAAGTAAAACACCGAGTAAATACAGCAAAGGTTTCTTTGTACAAATGTACAATGGACGGTCAGATCAAATGCGCCTCTTATCATTGGCACAATCACTCTTGCAGATACAAACTGTCTTGCCTGCCACCGTCACAATCATTGTTTGAGGCTGCTTATCTTTGACCTGTGCACTTTGTAGTGCCTTTCAAGTGACGGTCTCAGAGAGCAAGAGAAGAGAAATTAAAAATAAAAATGCACCTTTTATTATAATAATAATGATGATAAACATATAATAATAATCTTTATTTTAATATAGCACTTCTTGTCAGCAGGCTGACAGAGGATTTACGGTAAAATATATAAAACTTTGTAGGCGAAGGCAGCAATCAGTTTTTCACCAGAAACATTTTCACATAGAAATGGAAGCAGACAGTTATCTGATTCTGTTTTTGGGGGGAGGGGGAAAGGGCTGATTTAGCAAGGAAACCTCCCCTCCACCTCACCTCACTTTAAATGCTGGCAAGCAGGGTCCCTTAATTTCCAACTGAATCACAAAGCAGATGGGACCTAACTTAATCACTAGTGGTGGATAGAGAGCTATTTGGAATAAAATAAATAATGTATTAATGACAATAATCCTTGCATTTGATATAGAGCCTTATCCTGTCTTCTAGATGTCTCAAAGCGCTTCACAGGAAATACTGCAAAGTGAATTGACTGTATATTTTGTGGGCGAAACCCGGCAGCCAATTGCGCACAGCAGCGTCCCACAAACAGTCATTGATTGAGTGCCCAAATTATTATTTTTTTCTTGAGGGATTATTATTATCTGACGGGTGGAGTAAGGAAACTTGCCCAAGGTTTCACCCTGCCGGGAATCGAACCCGGGTCTCTTGCTTGCGAGGCGAGTGCTCTAACCACTGAGCTACAGGACTCCACATTAAATAACGTTGCTTTCTGGCACTGACTGACTCGATTTTTCCATTGATTAAACATACGTTGGTTCAAATTACCCTGGCTCAAGCGAATGCGGGAATAAATCAATTGTCAGGCTTAACTTGTAAGGTGTTCCCTCTGGTCCTTCAGTTGTCTGTTTGTTGTGAGTGTTTGCTCACTTCTCCCCACAGTGATTCTGTCACCAGTGGTGAGCAGCTCAGACAGCTCTGCCTTCCATTCAAACCCTAGAGTTTGCTACCAATTTATGTACAGATTAGAAATTGCCCTTTTTTTAATACACAAAGGGGCACATTGAGCTATAAATATGAGAGTTAAGGGAATTCAAGTTTTCAGAGCAAATCATTAAGACACAAATAGTTGCTGGTTTTCCTTTGCCAATGTATGTTCTTCCATTAGTAAGCCAGAGGGTGTGCAGTGGTTACTTAACATGGCACCAGAATAAGATGACAATTGATCTTAATGTGGAATTCGCAGCAACTTTGACGACCCATTTTGCATGAGTTCAAGTTTAAACGCGCAAAAGCAGGCCTGTTCAGTACATGTCCTCTTAATGTGTTTCTTCATAAATCCATACACAGTACGTGTGTTACGTGTCGACCATAAGGCTTCTTGTCGTCCTGGGCTTTTTCCTCAGTAGAGGTTGTATGAGCGCTGTAATGATAAAGAGAGAACTGTTACACCCTGCACTTTATTATGATAATAATAATAATCCTGGCATTTGATACAGTGCCTTATCACACCTTCGAGACACTCGAAAACACTTCACAGAATATACTGTAAAGTGAATTGACTGCATATTTTGTGGGCGAAACACAGCAGCCAATTGTACACAGCAACGTCCCACAAACAGTCGTGGATTGAGTGACCAAATTATTATTATTTAAAAACTTTTTTAAAGGGATTATTAATCCTGGAAAAGCGATCCACCAATCTATTAACAACCGGGTTCCTAGTTACTGCTAGCTAAACAGAGGCGTGTGGAGTAAGGAAACTTGCAGCGTGTTTCGCCCTGCCGGGAATCAAACCCAGGTCTTCTCACTTGCGAGGCAAGTGCTCTAAACACTGAGCTACAGGACTCAAGTTAAACCCCATTAAACTGTGAAAGGCAATAGGGGCTCTCACATGTGGATGTGTTTTGGATAGGGTGTGAGTTTTAGAAGCTGGATGTAGAGTGTTATGGAGTGATTCGTCACAGAAACACGGTACCCTCCGTTCCTCCGGCTCCGGTCTGCTCCACGTCCCCCGCCCCAACCGCCCTACCATCGGTGGCCGGGCCTTAAGCCTCTCAGCCCCTAAGCTCTGGAACTTCATCCCCCAGTGCCTTTGCCGCCTCCTTCCTTTCCTCCTTCAAGGTCGGTCTCAAGACCTTTCTCTTTGACCGTACCTTCAGCTCCCCTCTCGACTCTCTACCCCCTCCTCGCCCCCTCGCTTCCCTCCCCTCACCCTTACCATTCCCCCCTGCTTGGATCCTGACCCAACTGTCCAGCGCCTTGGGACGTCCTCCCGACATGAAAGGCTCTCCATAAATGAAATCTTGTTGTTTTATCTTGTCCATGACGGACTCCACTCAGGCCTCCACCCTTCGCATTCCCCTGTCCCATTACACCTCAAGTCCCTTCTCCCTCATCACTTGCATCCCTGTTCCCCTTAAGACGTCTCAGACCCGCACGTATGAATGGCCTGGATTAATGGCACAGTGAAAAATTCTCCGTGGCATGTTCGTTATCACAGGAGAGGGAAAGTGAAAAGATTTCAGGCATTTGCCCTTTCCTTTCCAATCAATATCAATGTATGAGTGTTGACTGGATTCCGAGGTGGGAAATTAGTCAATTTCCCTACACTCACTCATGTCATAAAGTAACGCATTCCTTAGATGTCTTGTGGTTTAAAAGCACTACTCATTGTCTGCTTTCAACTGTTGCAAAATCTCAGACAAAGAAAGAGAGAGAGAGAGAAATCACACAGCCCAACCCTTGCTGTGGCAATGACCACAGCCAACAAAGCCATTGTGCAAGATTATCAGTGTGGTTCAACACAGGAAGGTATGAATCCTTTTTTTTAGAGTAAAGTGATCCCTCATCGCCACATTTACGGATTTAACGTCGCCAAAAAATAAACCATTTGTTAAATGATCTCCAATTAAGATCTGAGTTGCAAATGTTCTGACATTAAACACGTACGTAGGCCTATTGACACCTGAACTGTGGTCAACACTGTACCAAAGTGTTGAATTTCACCTATTATTCCTGTGACTAAGTGGATGCAACCAGAAATGAAACGTAACTTGCAATGTAATAATAATAATAATCCTTGCATTTGATGTAGGTGTACTGTTAATAAGAATGCTGTGATTGAAGTGACAGATTTTCGAATATGTCTGCGTGTGTTGCTACGTTTAACCATTACAACAACAAAGTTGAGTTACAGAGGGTGGGGTAGAGTGGCGGAAGGCCCACCCACCGATAGTGGGGCGAGCGAGGCGAGTGATGTAAAGCAGGCCGGAGTCCACTGAGCGGAGGAAGTGAACAGGGTGGTAGGGGTTTAGGAAGTCGGAGAGGATGGGGGGAGCACGACCGTGGAGGGCTTTGAAGACCAGGATCTTGAACTGTATCCTCTGTGTGATGGTAAGCCAGTGGAGTTGGGCGAGGATGGTCGTGATAGGGTCATGGAGCCGAGTGTGGGAGAGGACACGGGCTGCAGAGTTCTGGATGATCTGCAGCCTGTGGAGGGAGGAGTTGGGGAGGCCAACAAGCAGTGAGTTTGTATAGTCGAGCCTCGATGTAATGAAGGCGTGTATGAGGGTTTCGGTGGCCTGTGGTGTGAGACAGTGTCGGAGCCGGGCAACGTTGCGGAGGTGGGGGCAGGCAGAGCAGGTCATGGTGCAGATGAGGGATAGAAAGGATAGTCGAGCATAGGAATTAGGAGCAGGAGTAGGCCATTTGGCCCCTCGAGCCTGCCCCGCCATTCAATAAGATCATGGCTGATCTTCTAACTTAACTCCATCTGCCTGCTTTATTCCCAAATCCCTTAATCCCCTTATCCTTTAGAAACCTATCAATCTCAGTCTTGAATATGTTCAAGGACTGAGCATCTACAGCCTTCTGGGGTAGAGAATTCCATAAAATTCACTACCCTCTGAGTGAAAAAATGTTTCCTCAACTCTGTTCGAAAGGGCTACCCTTAATCTTAAGGCTGTAAGCCCTAGTTATAGATTCTCTTACCAGGGGAAATAGCTTGCACTGTCTACCCTGTCAAGCCCCATAAGAATCTTATATGTTTCTATAAGATCACCACTAATTCTTCTATATTCTGGAGAATACAGCCCTAGTTTATTCAGCCTATCCTCATAGGTCAAACCCCTCATCCTAGGAACCAACCGAGTGAATCTACGCTGCACCCCCTCTAAGGCGCGTATGTTCTTTCTCAAATAAGAAGACCAAAACTGCACACAATACTCTAGGTCTCACAAAGGCCCTATACAGTTGCAGCAAAACTTCCCTCCTCTTGTATTCTAACCTTTTTGCAATAAACCCCAACATGTCATTAGCCTTCTTAGTTGCTGCTGTACCTGCATAGTAACTTTTTGTGACTGGTGTACAAGGACACCCAAATCCCTCTGAACACTAACACCATCTAATCTCTCCCCCTCTAGAAAATAATCTGCTTTTCTGTTTTTACTACCGAGGTGAATAACCTCACACTTCCCCACATTATATTCCATCTGCCACCTTCTTGCTCACTCACCTAGCTTTTCTATATCGCTTTGCAATCTTTTGTGTCATCCACAGAGCTTACTCTCCCACCGAGCTTAGTATCATCCACGAATTTAGATATTTTAAGTTCTATGTCCTCGTCTAGATCATTGATATGGATTGTAAATAGCTGAGGCCTAAGCACTGATCCTTGTGGCACTCCACTAGTCACATCTTGCCAATCTGAGAAGGTCCGGTTTATCCCTACTCTCTGTTTTCTTACCGTTAGCCATTCTTTGATCCATGCTAATATATTGTCTTTAATTCCATGTGCCAAGGTGCCACATCTTGTATAATCTTGTATAGCAGCCTTTTATGTGGCACCTTGTCGAATGCCTTCTGAAAATCTAGATATACTACATCTACTGGTTCCCCCGTATCTAATCTGCTAGTTACTTCCTCAAAAAACCCTAAAAGATTTGTTAAGCATGACTTCCATTTGTAAAGCCATGTTCTGGAACGGTTCCCATTGATTGAAAGATCGCAAAAGTAACACCACTATTTAAGAAGGGTGGGAGAGAGAAGATGGGGAAGTATGGACCAGTTAATCTGACATCAGTGGTAGGGAAAATTGTAGAATCTTTAATTAGGGGTGTCGTAGTGGGGTACTTAGAAGACCATAACATGATAGGCGGAGTCAACATGGTTTTACCAAAGCTGTTTACAATCTTGCTCTTTGTGTATTTGTAAAAACGCTTGCAGTCTGTCTTTATGTTCCTAGCTAGTTTGCCCTCATAATCTATTTTCACCCTCCTAATCAGTTTCTTAGTCTTTCTTTGTTGGTCTCTGAACTCCTCTCAATCCACGGGCTTACTGCTCTTTTTGGCAGTATTATAGGTCTCTTCTTTTAATTTTATACTGTCCCTAACTGCTCTAGTTAATCATGGTTGAACCCCTTTTCCCGAGGTATTTTTATTCCGCAAGGGAATATGTGATCGCTGGGAATTATGTATTACATCTTTAAAGGTTTGCCATTGCTGGTCTACTGTTATATCCTTTAATCTAATTCCCCAGTCTATTTTAGCTAAATCCTCTCTCATACCTGCAAAGTTGTCTCTATTTAAATTTAAGACCCTTGTTTCGGACTTAACTACATCACTCTATAACTTAATGCTAAATCCATCATGTTATGGTCACTCTGCCCAAGAGGAGCCTTAACTTCCAGGTTGCTGATTACATAAAACAAGATCTAGGATAGCCTGTTCCTTGGTTGGTTCCTTAGCAAACTGATCTAGGAAACTATCTCTAATGCATTTTATAAACTCCTCCTCTAACTTATTTTTGTTTTTCCCAATCTATATGACGATTAAAATCACCCGCCCACTGTTGGTGTATTTCCACTGCTACATGCTTCTCTAATTTCTTGGTTAATATTCTGCACAATACTGTAACTGCTGTTGGGTGCTAATCTTCAGCTACTGAACCCCCAAACTCTGGAGCACCCTTCCTGTATCCCTCTACCTTTCCCCTTTCTTCCTAATCTTCAGCTCGCGCCTGACGATGTTCCTGTTCGATTGTCACCTCTCCCTTCCCCCGGCTTGGCTTTGTGCTCCACCACTGCACTTTGAGACGCTACCCTGTGTGAGGGGCGCTATATAAATGCAAGTTTTTGTTGTTGATGTTGAAATTAGCTACAAGGGGATTTTGTTTTCTGATAGGACATGCATAAAATGGCCTTAGTGATGTATTCTGGTCTGGCAGAACTGAACAAGGCATTTGTACTTACCCCAAATATTGGGAGTTTCATATCAACATCATCAGGGGCTTCTAGCCTGCAGGCATTGGCCACTTTAGCACAATAACCTGTCTTAAATGCCTAGAGAATAACAGACAAGCATTAGTTTTTTCTCTTCACTTTTACACTGTTTTCATTCACATACTGTGGTGTTTCCCAATTAACTAAACTTTTTTGTTAATTTCATCCATGGTTGAATGTACTTGTAACCTAGTACAATTATCCTCCTTATTTGGGAGAGGATGATTGGGGGAAGGGACGGGACTTGGTTGACTCCAAGGCGATGTGCTTGGCAATGGAGGATTGCAATCAAGTTCAATCTCTGTAGTGGTCTCAATGGTCTGGTTCTGTTCCTAACTCACATAGTTCCAAGGTACAAGTATGACAAACTAGCCAGCCTGAATTGTTAGCAGAACCTGGTGGAGCCAGGCCAGTCACTGGGGCAAGCGATTCTTCCCACTCTGCTTTTATTAACTCTGCAAGCTATTGTCCTAACAGATAGGAACATCGTAGCTGGATAAGCAATGAGAAGCTTGCCAGTGTTTGCAATGGCAAAATGTGTCAATTTAGCTGGTGAAACTATTCTTGCCTCTTGCCAACCAACCTATGCCTGGTGCTCACCAAGATTAGGCAAACAGAGTGCGTCCCTCTGGGGAGAGCGCGTGCATTCCATTCCAGACAAACAGAAATTATATATGGAAAGCTTGCCAGACAGCGATATCAATGGCAAGCTATGAAGGTTTAGCTGATTAGACTCCAGCAGTTACCCCTAAGCACACTCTGGGGTCCTCAAGTCTTGGCTCTTGCCAACCTGTGCTTAAAACCTTCCAGAATTAGGTAAGCAGGATGTGTCCCTCCAGGAGAGAGTGCGCATTTCATTCCAACAATCTATCTCTGGGATCTCTATGTGCAGGTGGGATGAATGGAAATCTCAGTTGGGTTTGGATATTCTTAAGGTAATGGATTTTTGGATGTGTCAGACACACTGCTGGCCCCCAAAAATGCAGGCATGCCATTCTGACTTGTTACTGATGAATGTTAAGCTAAGCACACGTTTTACTAAGATTTTATTAGTCAGAACTGCCCTTGGACTCACCAGAACAATGAGAACAATGATTGCAATTATAGCCAATATGCCCATGACTATGATTGCGATGGCATAGCTTGGGAAGTTATTGTCTGGTGGTGCTGGTCTGGTGGTAGTTAAGGTAGTAGTCGGAGGTGCAACTATTATGAATAAAAAAAACAATATGGTTAATATACCTCATTGACTGCCTTGCTTTCGTTGATTCAGTTTGCTCAGCACGTCACAGTAGACTGTAGACTAACCGTTCATTATAATAATATATTACATTTGATAAACAACAACTTGCATTTATATAGCACCTTTCACATGTGATAGCATCCCAGCGCGCTTGAAATATAACGTCTTATCATAAGATTAATTTGCCTTTAAGCGCTTCACAGGATTTTACAGAGACTTTGTAAGCGAACGCAGCAGCAATGGAAACGCGCTATACCAAACAAGCATTATGATTATTATTGTTATTAGAAATACCTACAAAACACATGTGCAAGTCTCTGTACCAAATACAAGGATTATTAAAAAATTGTCACTTCTGTCCTCTCTCCTACCTGTAGTCAGAATGAAGTGAGTGTCCAAAGTTAAATTTTCGCTCCTGAATTCTTGTTCATTATTAACCAGAGACCTCCGGACACTATTATCGTCTGTGGAATTGACTGCAAATCGCATGACTGTATTCGCTATAACAGAGCCAGACCTGGACAGATAAGAGACAGAAGCAAATCTGTTAGTTACAAAGCTCATTTACATATAGAGTAAGATAGAGTCTTGTAGCATATCGGTTAGAGCCCTCGCCTCACAAGCGAGAGGACCCGGTTTGATTCCCAAGTGGAGCAAAACCTTAGGCAAGTTTCCTTACTCCACATGCCTCTGTATACCTAGCAGTAAATAGGAACCTGGTTGTTTGTCGATCGTGTTCTGGGGCTAATAATCCATTCAAAAAAAATAACAATAATAATTTGGTCACTCAATCTAAGACTGTTTGTGGGACAATGCTGTGCTCAATTGGCTGACGTGTTTCGCCCACAAAATATTCAGTTAATCCACTTTACAGTATTATCTGTGAAGCGCTTTGAGAAGAAATGATGAGGTGCTATATGAAATACAAGGATTATTATTGTTATTAGAGTGAAATAGACCATTTGGCTCAACTGGTCCATGAAGGTGTTGATATTCCATATAACCCTTCTGGTGCCCTTTCTTATACCTTGCTATTCCCTTCTCCCACATATATGCATCAAGCTTCCTCTTGCATACGATTATGATATTTGCTTCAACCACAGCTTCCAGGAATGAGTTCCTCATTTCAATGATAAGACTGAATTCAGCAATTTGTTAAATCTCTGAGGTGATGCTCTGAAATGCCACATAAGCGGAGTAAATCCAGACCAGGGTGAATTCTTTCCCCAGGTGTCTATACAATCAGTCGGCTGGAGCTCAATGATAAAACCACTCACCTAAAGCTCTCGATGGTGATTTCAACGTAGGAACTGTTCCGCTGAAATATCTTATTCACCTGGAATACAAAAAGGGGCAGAAGAGATCAGAAGTGTGTATTGCTATGTGGTAGACCTGACATAGCCTGACTTGACATTCACAATGCCACCGAAAATCAAATGATCAATGTCATTTTCTTTTCTTTTAAATAATGGTTTAACAGAATTCTGACCTGTTCCTTAATCATCTCTTTCTGCCTTTCTTATTCATTGCCGCCTCACACTGCTTTGACATTGGGAGCCTTGAGGAAACTAACCCCCAAGGTCTCTTTCAGCTTCCCCCTTTGGCAGGTTCTGTCCAATCCATGGAGTACACGTGATTCCTATTCTTACTTCCTATATATAGTATCTTCCATGTATCAGTGTTAAACTTCATTTGGCATTTATCAGCCCATGTGCACACCCGGTCAAGCTCTCTTTGTAAGGCCTTTGCTGTCTTCTCTGATTCAATAGTTCCCGCCAACTTGGTGTCATCGGCAGTTGCAACTATCTTACAATACGATCTGTGAATCCAGGCCGTTAATAGAATATATACAAGGAATAGGAGAGGTCCCAGTACAGACCTCTGAGGCACCCCGCTTAATACTACCCCTATTTTCACAAGAGAATTGCTTTCAAGTGTAGTGACTGTGTATTTAGTAATAATCCTTGCATGTAAGGTCCTCACTTTGACTATAACCCCAAATCAACTTTTCTAGCAATGATAATAAAATATTCCTGGTACAGTGGCAGCTTTGCTTCCTCTGAATGAAGATTAAAGTCTGGGCTAGTACTTACCGCTCGTGTTATTCTTCCGCTGAGATCTTTGAACTTTCCAGTTGCTCGGTCATTCAGCGCTGGTTCAAAGTTTTGGTTGGTGAATCTAATTGGTATGTCAAATTGCTGAAATGTGACGGAGTTTCCTGTAGACAGAGGATGTAAGCACATGGTCAGGATAAAAACTCACCACAAATTCCCACGCCTCAGTGCTCCTCATGTGGCTCACAGCACAATACATCTTTACGTAACACCTTTCTCGTTAGGAGGACATCTCACTGATCAACAGTGAATGCTAGACATCTTTTTCTGAGTAAACTTACAATGAAATCGCACCCTTCTCAGTAATCAGTCATTTGGTAACTGATCCAAGACTATTTGTGGGACATTGCTGTACGCAATTGGCTGCTGAATTTCCCCCACGAAATATACGGTCAATTTATTTTACACTATATTCTGCGAAGCGCTTTGAGACATCTCGAAGACCTGATAAGGTAAGGATTATATTATATATTATACTGAAAGGGAGAACTGAGACGTCTCACTCTGCTTGATGAAGCTCTGAGGAACGCTCGGTGGAAAAAAGGTAAGATGATTCTGAGGGCAAATAGCAAATCAATAATACTGCTATTACGACTACTCTAATAATAACGTTGTTCAAGCGTCTCAAAGCGCTTCACTGTAAAGTGTAGTGACTGTGTACATTTTGTGGGCAAAATGCGGTAGCCAATTGCATACCCAAGTATCTCACAAACAGTCATGGATAGAGAGACCCTTTTTTATTGGATTGATTATTACCCCGGAAAGCTATCCGCCAATTAACTAACAACCAGGTTCCTACTTTCTGCTTGGTAAACAGGAGGTGCATATGTGCAGTAAGGAAACTTGCCCAATGTTTCGCCCTGTCAGGGAATTAAACCTGGACCCTCTTGCTTGCATAAGGGCATCAGTACAGTTATTACAGAGGGGCTTTGACTCGTGTGGCTTTGAATGCATTTCGCGCTGGTGACGTGAACAAAGTGTAGGTTCAGGTGTGTCGGCAGCAAAGACCTACCGTTTATGATAATGGTGGACTTGATGATGTCGAAGCCTGAACCATCGACACCCTCTGTGATGAGACTAATCAACCGGTTGCGATTTTCGGGCTTGGTACTGTTGATCTGGAAGTGAGCGTTGACGAACACCCTTACACTAGAGTTGCTGGAAATAAAGAACCGAACAAGTCAACCAGTTGTAGTAGCCTTGCTTACGTGGTTAAGATGGAATAGAATTGATATAGTTTACCCTCTAAGTAGTCACCACAGCTTAGAACCGAGGGCTGAAGGTGGCATGGTGTGTGATTCTTTGCTATTATTTCTCTCCTTCTCTTGTAGATGCTGTGGCTATTATACCCCTCAATGACGTCATGCCTGAGGTTGGATAACTCAATACAAAGGCTCAAACAGTTGACCAATTCAGATAAAGATGTTTACCAATTAGGATCTAACTTGTGCCATATCTGTGTTATACGTGTGTATTGTGGGCAAGAAGCGGCAGCCAATTGCACACAGCAGTGCACACAAACAGTCATGGATTGAGTGACTAAGTTATTATTTAAAACANTTTTTTTGAAGAAATTGTTACCCCCGGAAAAGCGATCTGCCAATCGACTAACAACCAGGTTCCTATTTACTGCCAGGTAAACAGAGGGATGTGGAGTACGGAAACTTGCCTAACGTTTTGCCCTGTCCGGGAATCAAACCTGGGTCCTCTCACTTGCGAGGCAAGTGCTCTAATCAACACACTACAGGACTCATTCATGGTCAAAATCCCCACTATTAATGAATCATGAATTCCTGGATAATGTCCTGAAGGATGCTCACTGCCCTGAAAACCTAATCATCAAGAGAGAAAGAATTATAAAGAGCTTCCTCCTCTACTGTACGCTGGATGTAGTTAAGATAAAGAAAGCTCTTTGGCCCATTTGATATCATTCTTTCATAACAGCCATTTTCCAACACCTCCATCTCAATAGGGGAGGAAATTAGAGAAGAAACATAAAATAGAGGGTAAAAGAACATACAAGAGGTGGTTTAGATGTACCTGAAATCAATGGTGGAATTATTTAGCACAGTTTGGCTTCCAAACTCGTTCTCAAGGATAGGTTTAAGCTGTTGAATAAAAAAAGGAAGTCAGGGAAACAAACTTGATAAAGACAGTTCAGGATTTGCATCTTTGACTTTAACATTGCTAATATCCGTCACCTCGATAATACATACCCAGGAAAGAATTCTTTGCTTAAGATCAGTAAATGTAGTGGAGGACTTGTTGCTTAGACTCTCTGTGAAGGTTTCATTTTCAATCACAAAGGAAATTTGCAAAGGTGATGGTTCCAGGGTGCTTAAGCGAATGCCTAATGCAGAGAACACAGAGGAACTTTAGATACAAAAGGGATGTAAATCTGTAACAGTACGATTGCATTGACTGGGCTGGTTAAGGGAATGACTTTCCAAATGCAATAATTATCTCTACAACAAACAATTTCAAAGCCACTTTTCAACTTACCGTTTGAGTCGATTGTTGACCGGATAATGGACAGGTTTCCGAGCTGTGTGTTGTTCTCCAATTGATCTGCCATTGTCTTCACCACTTCCGAATTGGATGGTATAACGGAGTTATTATTGAAGAATATGTCAGTGTCGACGACAGTAGATCCTGACCTAGGAAGAGTTAAATGCAACAAATCCTGTTAATGTTGGGAGTCCTAAAGAAATGCTCTCATGTGACACCTTTTCAAGGTGGCGATGAAGTTGATTTGGTCCAAAGTTAAGATCCATTTTGTGTCAGCAGGGTACTCGGAGGTGAGCCACAGCTGACACTGAGTTTGCCTGTTGTGTGGCACTGGTGCCATCCACAGTTGCTTCTGAACTTAACTGAATGAGAGGTATTTGCTTTCAGGTAAGAATCAGCAAGAACATTCAACCACTATTAGCTCCCTCCCCACTCCAGCCCCACTCCACCCGTAAATTGGTGAGAAATTGCTTACCTGAATTTCTTTACACTTAAGCTTCTGAAATTCGGATAGTTTTTTCTGTAGCCTGGTGTTAGCTTTGTTATAAAAAGAAAAGTACTTTAGCATTGAACTATGTTCATAACTAATGGTGTCAGCCTGGCTCAGTTGGAAGCATTCTCGTCTCAAGGTCAAACAATATAGATTCAGACCTCATGGATTTGTTAACAGCTTTGAAAGATTTGCTAACAAGTTTTAAAAGGGTAGTAGATAATTATTTGGGGAGGACATGTTTGCAGGGCTCTGGGGAGAGCACGGGGGAATGGGATTGATTTGGATAGCTCTTTTCGAAGAGCCGGCACAGACACCATGGGCCGAATGGTCTACTTCTGTGCTGTAAATTCTACGTATTGAGACTTTCAGCTCACAGTCTAGGCTGACACCCAAGTGCAAGGCTGGAGGGAGCACTGCATTGTCAGAGGTGCCATCCTTTGGGGGAGACATTAAACCGAGGTCCCATTTGCCTGCTCAGGTGTGCGTTAAAGATCCCATGGCACAACTCAAAAAGAGAAGCGAGATTCTCTCTCACGGTGTCCTGGCCAATAATCCCCCAAGTGAAATTGGTCACTCACTCTATGGCTGTTTGTGGTACATTGCAGTGAGCAAATTGGCTGTCAAGTTCGGCAGTATACTTATATATTCCATAAGGGAATTTTGGGACGTACTCCTAACGTGAACGGTGCTATACAAATGTAAGGATTATTGTTACTGTTGTTATTATCGTAACCACATTCTCATGAGATGTTTATATTTCCAGTGAGTGGAAGCACATGACCAAGGTTTGATCTAGAAAATAACAATAGCATTCCTGTAATCTTAGTAATCTTTGAAACAGTGAGAACAAGAACTTACCTCTTTTACTATCTGGGCTTTAAGTTCTATGGATTCTTTTGAGGATAAATTCAATAGCTCTGGTCGGAACGTGCGATTTATGCTGAAAGACAATGGTACCCGTTCAACATTCGCAGGCAACGGGGCAATGGTGGTGGGACTGAAGGTGGGCGTTGTCTGTGGGGCTGTTGTTACACTTGACGATGAGCTTGCCTGTTGTCTGGTGCTGGTGCCAGCCTTAGTTGATGCTGAGCTTGCCTGTTGTCTGGTGCTGGTGCCAGCCTCAGTTGATGCTGAGCTTGCCTGTTGTCTGGTGCTGGTGCCAGCCACAGTTGATGCTGAGCTTGCCTGTTGTGTGGTACTGGTGCCAGCCACAGTTGATGCTGAGCTTGCCTGTTGTGTGGTACTGGTGCCAGCCTTAGTTGATGCTGAGCTTGCCTGTTGTGTGGTACTGGTGCCAGCTACTGTTGATGCTGAGCTTGCCGGTTCTGTGGTGCCAGCCACAGTTGATGATGCTGAGCTTGCCTGTTGTGTGGTACTGGTGCCAGCCTCAGTTAATGCTGAGCTTGTCTGTTGTGTGGTGCTGGTGCCAGCCTCAGTTGACGCTGAGCTTGCCTGTTCTGCAGTAGTAATGGCACCCACAGTTGATGCTGAGCTTGCCTGTTGTGTGGTACTGGTGCCAGCCTCAGTTGATTCTGAGTTTGCCTGTTGTGTGGTACTGGTGCCAGCCTCAGTTGATGCTGAGCTTGCCTGTTGTGTGGTGCTGGTGCCAGCCTCGGTTGATGCTAAGATTGCCTGTCCTGTGGTGCTGCTGCCAGCCTCAGTTGACGCTGAGCTTGCCTGTTGTGTGGTACTGGTGCCAGCCTCAGTTGATGCTGAGCTTGCCTGTTGTGTGGCACTGGTGCCAGCCTCAGTTGATGCTGAGCTTGTCTGTTGTGTGGTGCTGGTGCCAGCCTCAGTTGACGCTGAGCTTGCCTGTTCTGCAGTAGTAATGGCACCCACAGTTGATGCTGAGCTTGCCTGTTGTGTGGTACTGGTGCCAGCCTCAGTTGATTCTGAGTTTGCCTGTTGTGTGGTACTGGTGCCAGCCTCAGTTGATGCTGAGCTTGCCTGTTGTGTGGTACTGGTGCCAGCCACAGTTGACGCTGAGCTTGCCTGTTGTGTGGTACTGGTGCCAGCCACAGTTGACGCTGAGCTTGCCTGTTGGTACTGGTGCCAGCCTGTTGATGCTGAGCTTGCCGGTTCTGTGGTGCCAGCCACAGTTGATGATGCTGAGCTTGCCTGTTGTGTGGTACTGGTGCCAGCCTCAGTTAATGCTGAGCTTGTCTGTTGTGTGGTGCTGGTGCCAGCCTCAGTTGACGCTGAGCTTGCCTGTTCTGCAGTAGTAATGGCACCCACAGTTGATGCTGAGCTTGCCTGTTGTGTGGTACTGGTGCCAGCCTCAGTTGATGCTGAGCTTGCCTGTTGTGTGGCACTGGTGCCAGCCTCAGTTGATGCTGAGCTTGCCTGTTCTGTGGTACTGGTGCCAGCCTCAGTTGATGCTGAGCTTGCCTGTCCTGTGGTACTGGTGCCAGCCTCAGTTGATGCTGAGTTTGCCTGTTCTGTGGTACTGGTGCCAGCCTCAGTTGTTGCTGAGCTTGCCTGTTGTGTGGTGCTGTGCCAGCCTCAGTTGATGCTGAGCTTGCCTGTTCTGTGTATGGCACCCCAGTTGATGCTGAGCTTGCCTGTTGTGTGGTACTGGTGCCAGCCTCAGTTGATTCTGAGTTTGCCTGTTGTGTGGTACTGGTGCCAGCCTCAGTTGATGCTGAGCTTGCCTGTTGTGTGGTGCTGGTGCCAGCCTCGGTTGATGCTAGTTGCCTGTCTGTGGTGCTGCTGCCAGCCTCAGTTGACGCTGAGCTTGCCTGTTGTGTGGTGCTGGTGCCAGCCTCAGTTGATGCTGAGCTTGCCTGTTGTGTGGCACTGGTGCCAGCCTCAGTTGATGCTGAGCTTGCCTGTTCTGTGGTACTGGTGCCAGCCTCAGTTGATGCTGAGCTTGCCTGTCCTGTGGTACTGGTGCCAGCCTCAGTTGATGCTGAGTTTGCCTGTTCTGTGGTACTGGTGCCAGCCACAGTTGTTGCTGAGCTTGCCTGTTGTGTGGTGCTGGTGCCAGCCTCAGTTGACGCTGAGCTTGCCTGTTCTGTGGTACTGGTGCCAGCCTCAGTTGACGCTGAGCTTGCCTGTTCTGTGGTACTGGTGCCAGCCTCAGTTGATGCTGAGCTTGCCTGTTGTTTGGTGCTGGTGCCAGCCTCAGTTGATGCTGAGCTTGCCTGTTGTTTGGTGCTGGTGCCAGCCTCAGTTGATGCTGAGCTTGCCTGTTCTGTGGTACTGGTGCCAGCCTCAGTTGATGCTGAGCTTGCCTGTTCTGTGGTACTGGTGCCAGCCTCAGGTGATGCTGAGCTTGCCTGTTCTGTGGTACTGGTGCCAGCCTCAGTTGATGTGGAGCTTGCCTGCTGTGTTGTACTGGTGCCAGCCTCAGTTGATGCTGAGCTTGCCTCTCCTGTGGTACTGGTGCCAGCCTCAGTTGATGCTGAGCTTGCCTGTTGTGTGGTGCTGGTGCCAGCCTCAGTTGATGCTGAGCTTGCCTGTTCTGTGGTACTGGTGCCAGCCTCAGTTGATGTGGAGCTTGCCTGTTGTGTGGTACTGGTGCCAACCTCAGTTGATGTGGAGCTTGCCTGTCCTGTGGTACTGGAGCTTGCCTGTCCTGTGGTACTGGTGCCAGCCTCAGTTTTTGCTGAGCTTGCCTGCTGTGTTGTACTGGTGCCAGCCACAGTTGATGCTGAGCTTGCCTGTTCTGTGGTACTGGTGCCAGCCTCAGTTGATGTGGAGCTTGCCTGTTGTGTGATACTGGTGCCAGCCTCAGTTGATGCTGAGCTTGCCTGTTCTGTGGTACTGGTGCCAGCCTCAGTTGACGCTGAGCTTGCCTGTTCTGTGGTACTGGTGCCAGCCTCAGTTGATGTGGAGCTTGCCTGTTCTGTGGTACTGGTGCCAGCCTCAGTTGATGTGGAGCTTGCCTGTTCTGTGGTACTGGTGCCAGCCTCAGTTGATGTGGAGCTTGCCTGCTGTGTTGTACTGGTGCCAGCCTCAGTTGATGCTGAGCTTGCCTGTTGTTTGGTGCTGGTGCCAGCCTCAGTTGTTGCTGAGCTTGCCTCTCCTGTGGTACTGGTGCCAGCCTCAGTTGATGCTGAGCTTGCCTGTTCTGTGGTACTGGTGCCAGCCTCATTTGATGCTGAGCTTGCCTGTTCTGTGGTACTGGTGCCAGCCTCATTTGATGCTGAGCTTGCCTGTTCTGTGGTACTGGTGCCAGCCTCAGTTGATGCTGAGCTTGCCTGTTCTGTGGTACTGGTGCCAGCCTCAGTTGATGCTGAGCTTGCCTGTTCTGTGGTACTGGTGCCAGCCTCAGTTGATGCTGAGCTTGCCTGCTGTGTTGTACTGGTGCCAGCCTCAGTTGATGCTGAGCTTGCCTCTCCTGTGGTACTGGTGCCAGCCTCAGTTGATGCTAAGCTTGCCTGTTGTGTGGTGCTGGTGCCAGCCTCAGTTGATGCTGAGCTTGCCTGTTGTGTGGTACTGGTGCCAACCTCAGTTGATGTGGAGCTTGCCTGTTCTGTGGTACTGGTGCCAGCCTCAGTTGATGCTGAGCTTGCCTGTTCTGTGGTACTGGTGCCAGCCTCAGTTGATGCTGAGCTTGCCTGTTCTGTGGTACTGGTGCCAGCCTCAGTTGATGCTGAGCTTGCCTGTTCTGTGGTACTGGTGCCAGCCTCAGTTGATGCTGAGCTTGCCTGTTGTGTGGTACTGGTGCCAGTCTCAGTTGTTGCTGAGCTTGCCTGTGGTGTGGTGCTGGTGCCAGCCTCAGTTGTTGCTGAGCTTGCCTGTTGTGTGGTGCTGGTGCCAGCCTCAGTTGATGCTGAGCTTGCCTCTCCTGTGGTACTGGTGCCAGCCTCAGTTGATGCTGAGCTTGCCTGTTGTGTGGTGCTGGTGCCAGCCTCAGTTGATGCTGAGCTTGCCTCTCTGTGGTACTGGTGCCAGCCTCAGTTGTGCTGAGCTTGCCTGTTCTGTGGTACTGGTGCCAGCCTCAGTTGATGTGGAGCTTGCCTGTTCTGTGGTACTGGTGCCAGCCTCAGTTGATGCTGAGCTTGCCTGTTGTGTGGTGCTGGTGCCAGCCTCAGTTGATGGGGAGCTTGCCTGCTGTGTTGTACTGGTGCCAGCCTCAGTTGATGCTGAGCTTGCCTGTTGTGTGGTGCTGGTGCCAGCCTCAGTTGTTGCTGAGCTTGCCTCTCCTGTGGTACTGGTGCCAGCCTCAGTTGCTGCTGAGCTTGCCTGTTCTGTGGTACTGGTGCCAGCCTCAGTTGATGTGGAGCTTGCCTGTTCTGTGGTACTGGTGCCAGCCTCAGTTGATGCTGAGCTTGCCTGTTGTGTGGTGCTGGTGCCAGCCTCAGTTGATGCTGAGCTTCCCTCTCCTGTGGTGCTGGTGCCAGCCTCAGTTGATGTGGAGCTTGCCTGTTCTGTGGTACTGGTGCCATCCACAGTTTTTGCTGAGCTTGCCTGTTGTGTGGTGCTGGTGCCAGCCTCAGTTGTTGCTGAGCTTGCCTGTTGTGTGGTACTGGTGCCAGCCTCAGTTGATGCTGAGCTTGCCTGTTCTGTGGTACTGGTGCCAGCCTCAGTTGATGCTAAGCTTGCCTGTTCTGTGGTACTGGTGCCAGCCTCAGTTGATGTGGAGCTTGCCTGTTCTGTGGTACTGGTGCCAGCCTCAGTTGATGCTAAGCTTGCCTGTTCTGTGGTACTGGTGCCAGCCTCAGTTGATGTGGAGCTTGCCTGTTGTGTGGTACTGGTGCCAGCCTCAGTTGATGCTAAGCTTGCCTGTTCTGTGGTACTGGTGCCAGCCTCAGTTGATGTGGAGCTTGCCTGTTCTGTGGTACTGGTGCCAGCCTCAGTTGATGTGGAGCTTGCCTGTTCTGTGGTACTGGTGCCAGCCTCAGTTGATGCTAAGCTTGCCTGTTCTGTGGTACTGGTGCCAGCCTCAGTTGATGTGGAGCTTGCCTGTTCTGTGGTACTGGTGCCAGCCTCAGTTGATGCTAAGCTTGCCTGTTGTGTGGTAGTGGTGCCAGCCTCAGTTGATGCTAAGCTTGCCTGTCCTGTGGTACTGGTGCCAGCCTCAGTTGATGCTAAGCTTGCCTGTTCTGTGGTACTGGTGCCAGCCTGAACCACAATGGTTGACACGATGAAGTACCCTATTGAACATCGACACTGGAGTCAGTATTCCCTTAGCACAGTTTGTACAGTGGTTCTATATTTTTAACATCTTATTTTGAGTCATCGTTTTAAGACTAATTGTTTTCTTTCCTCGCGCTGCACTATCAATTTTCTCTTTAGTCTCTTTGCACATGCTTTTATGTTAAAGATACTCAGGTTTAAAGTCGGGTTACCGACCCACCAGCCAGTTGAAATAGTTTCTATTAAGTCTCCTCTTAACCTTCTCTGCTCCAAGGAGAATAATCAGAGCTTCTCTGCCTCTCCTCATGAAGTCCCTCATTCCTGGTACCATCCTGGTCAATCTCCTCTCCAATGCCTTGACATCCTTCCTAAAGTGTGGGACCCAGAACTGAACACAATCTCCAGCTGAGGCTTAACCAGAGATTTATAAAGGTTCATCATAACAAAGTTTTTGCTCCAAAATATAGTTAGTTCACTTTACAGTGTATTCTGTGAAGCGCTTTGAAATGTCTTAAAGATGTGACAAGTCTCATTTTCTAGCCTTAGTCAGCTCTTTGACTTCTTTTGTCCTGATGACATGAAACTTGTTATGTTATGGGTGGGATAAATTGCTCCCCATTAACTCTATTCAGTAATCCACAGGGCTGATGCTCTTTGCACCTCTCCACTTGAGCAGCTTTTATAATAATAATAATAATCCTTACATTTGATATAGCGCTTTTCACGTCGGGAGGACGTCCCAAAGCGCTTCACAGAACACACTGTAAAGTGAATTGACTGTATATTTATGGGCGAACGCGGCAGCCAATTGCGCACAGCAATGTCCCACAAACAGTCGTAGATTGAAAATGACCAATTTATTATTGTTTTGGTTTTGGAGGGATTATTATTAGGCTCTGTGTGGAGTAAGGAAACTTGCCCAAGGTTTCGCCCTCTGCCTGGAATTGAAATCAGGTCTCTCGCTTGCAAAGCGAGTGCTCTAACCACTGAGCTACTTCCCAACAAAATGCACAGTCACTACACTTCACAGTAAATCCGATGAAGCACATTGAGACATCCTCCTGACATGAAAGACGTTGTACTAAATAGAAGGATTATGTAACACAGGATTTATTTTGTCCAGATAAAGCAAGCACATTGATAACACAATACAATGGACATGTTGGCAGGATATCTTAAATCATTTTACAAACCGATAAAATACTCCTTTGACATTTAAGGGCCACTTCAGGGGGATTAAAGAATGTTATCTATCATTGAAAAGCAATGCTCAGGGCAACACTTTTCACATGAAATAAATGTCTCAAAGGTACATACATCTGAGTGGAAATGATGATCCTGAATAATTTTCTTACCTGCAAGAATTAGATGAGTTAGCAGTTTAGCTGAAGCCATGTTGCTCTGCCGGGTTTGTCTGCTCGAAATCTAAGAAACAAGAATGATTTTCATCTTAATGTTTGGCAGATGCGTGTCCAAGCCATCGCTAACAGTTAACAGTTTTCTTCCATTTCATTCAGAGCTACTACCAAATGATTTGAATATGAGGAAGCATTATGCATACTTGAGGAAGAAGGGAATAGAAAGGAATAGGAGGGCAGTGTCCAAATTCCGACATGTACCAGTTAGGCTGAATGGTCTATTTCCGTGCTGTAAGGTTCTATCCAAGTCTTTGTAAATTTGTTCTATTTAATTTAGGACAGATTAATGGTCAAACCTAGAAACTCCATTCTATTGTATCTCCATCATCTGTTTACCCAGCAGTTACTTAGGAACCCGATTGTTTTTTGATTGGTAGATCACTTTCCAGGGGGGTAATAATCCCTCCAAAATAATAATAATAATAGTAATAATTTGGTCACTCAATCCACGACTATTTGTTGGACACTACTGAGCTTACAGCATATTTTGTGAAGCGTTTTGTGACGTCTCAACGACGTGATAAGACGCTGTGTCAAATGCAAGGATTATTTATTATTATTATCGAGGCTCTGCTCTGTGCTGTTAGCAAATTTCTTACAATCCGAATCACTGTTCGCTTCTAAAAATAGTTTCCTTGCATTATTTACCACTCCCTATATCGTCGATTTGGAAGACTTTGTACTGGGCTTGTTAGGAACAGATGAGAAGCTAGAGCATAAGAACATAAGAATTTGCTGGCGAGGGAAGACCAAGGTCCATCCAGTTTGCCTTCCACCATCCTGGCAATCACCTGAAATGTCGTGTCCCAAACTATATACTGTATCCCCAGATATTATTTTCTTACAGAGATCTATCTAATTTGTTCCGCTTCCACCATCTCCCTAGGGAGCCTGTTCCATAAGTTTACTACTTGCTCACTGAAGTAGTGTTTCCGCAGATTTGTTCTGAATTTACCCCCTTCAATCGTAGAGTGTCATTAGACCAGGAGCAGAGAACTGAGACATACTTAACAGTACTGGAAGCTGATCAGACAACAGACCAGAGCAAGGAGATAAACTTGGGGTATAAACATCAAACTGAAGTGTCTGCCAATTTTTGTTTTGTGTCATTAATATCAAACACATTGAAAATCCCAGGAATATGTGGGGAAGTCACATTTTCCCTTGAAATCTGCACTCCACAGTCACATGGAGTGAAACGGCACGGAAACAGGCCATTCAGCTCAACTAGTCCATGTGCCAATGCTTATACTCCATATGAGCCCCCACCTCTCTGCTATACCCTCTCTTCCCTTCTCCTCCCATCAAGTTTCCTCTTAAATACATTGATGCTTTTATGCTTTGTCCATAACTTCTGGCAGCGAATTCCACATTCTCAATAGCATGAAGCAAATCATCAGAAGCCCGAATACAGAGTTACAAACTCAACAGCGTTTCGCCCACAAATTCACTTTACAGTGTATCCTGTGAAGCGCTTTGAGATGTCTCGAAGACGTGATAAGGCGCTATATCAAATGCAAGGACTAAAACTCTCAGCCCCATGTGGCTCAGCCCAGTACCCAGCTTGACAAAGCTATACAGCAATAAACAGTCACGTTGATTTAACCAGGCAACAGTCGATCCCTGCTTACCTGACCCTGATTTAACAAGTCACTAATCCTTCAGCCATCACACTGTCAATATCCCGGCCACATTTATTGATGTTCTTATACCTATGCCTAACTCGCCACTCCTGATAACTCATCATTGATCCCTTTGCCCTTGGAGTGACGAGTTATCAGGAATTTACTGTGCTTGGGTCTCATGACGCTCCTTTCTCTCCCTTTCTGTGGGTCATGGCTTTAGGCTCGTATGGCCCCACCTTCCACCTGTTTTAGCTGTGGAAGCATTCTGGTAGGAAATTTAAGAATTATTACAATTTCTAAAATTCCATCTTAATTTGAGGCTGTGTTTTTTGTCCTCCTTGCAGTCTCTTCGAAAGAAAACTGGCTTCGAATCAAGACAGAATTGAAGAATTTTCCATAATTCGGAGCGCAACAATGTACAATTTTAAGATAAAAATTTTATCTTAAATGTTATCACAGTGGGAGGAATTTCAGATTTTTCATGTACTCAGAGTGCAACTTGCTGCCTCGTTTCGCCCACAAAATGTACAGTCAGTTCACCTTACAGTATAGTCTGTGAAGTGTTTTGAGACGTCCGAATGTCGTGCTAAGGCGCCATATAAAATCCAAGGATTATTATTATCACGAGATGTAGAGTGAGCGCTCTGAGATGCTAGCCAGTGTGGAGGGCGCTATAAAAGTGCAAGTTGTTGTTGTTTTTGTTTTAGAGACCACCCAGCAACCTGTTGCTCTTCTGGAGAATTTATTTCCACAAACTGACTCTTGAAGATTTATAATAATATTTTCTACACAACAGAGATATCAGTCATTATGATCAAGGCAGGCTAAACACAAATACCAGGCTAATGTTCTTCACTTTAACAACAAGTTACATGTCCATCGCAACAAGTCTTTCCTTACACAAAGACACAAAGCAAGCCCTGCTCAGAGCCTCATCTCACTTAGACTTGCTGCAGCCTTCCAGCCGGCTGAGCCTCGGCCAACAATTCCCCGGATAAAACTAGTCATTCACTTTGTGCTGTTTGTGGGACATCAATATGTGCAATTGGCTGCCGCGTTCACCTACAAAACGCGCATTCACTACACTTTACGGTAAATCCTGTAAAGAGCTTTGAGACATCCTCCTGACACGATAAGGCGGTATATCAAATGGAAGGATTATTGTTAAGGAATATAAAATAAGGGTGATATTTGGCTAAGCATTTTATTTCGCCCACAAAGTATACAGTCAATTCACTTTACAGTATTTTCTGTGAGGCACTTTGAGACGTCTCAATGACGTGATAAGGCGCTATATCAAATGTAAGGATTATTAGAATAAGTTTAATAATAATAATAATAATCCTGGCATTTGATATAGCACTTTTCATGTCGGGACGATGTCCCAAAGCGCTTCACAGAACACACTGTAAAGTGAATTGATGTATATTTGTGGGCGAACGCGGCAGCCAATTGCGCACAGCAATGTCCCACAAACAGTCGAAGATTGAAAATGACCAATTTTTATTATTGAAATGCACTGCTTTTAAAATTGGTGTTCTAAGAGTGTCAGACTAGAAAAATGTTGTACAGCTGCCAATCCACCTACCCTGACATAATATATGAATCATGTTTAACATGTGTAAATGGTGGCTTGAAACTGATCCAGGTAATTGCTAAATTATACTTTCCAAATGCACTTTACCAGCAACGTACAAAAAATACACGTGTTTCTCAGACTGAGGGGGTGGCAAACCAGTTGCACTTTTCTATATTGTCCAATTTTGCCAAAGGACTAGCTAAAACCATTACCTTTGCTAGAGTTCCATTCTCAACATTTTGATTTAATAATGCACTTCAGCATCTTAAAACATCAAATTCTGACAATCACTCTGTTTTTTACACCCACCCAATAAATGTTGTCCACAGATATTAAACCACTGAACATTCTTTGGTAGATTTTAAGCAGCAGGTGCTGAAGAGATTTTTTTATAAATTATTTGAAAAGGCTCCCAAATATTCACATAATGAGCGAGTTAATAAAAGCAGAACAGACTTACTTTCGTTTTCTTTGCTGCAAGAAAATCCCCTTTAGTATTTTAGTCCGTTCTTCTTATCCTCCTCAAAGTTGAGCAGTGTTCAACACACGGGTGACTCGCCAACGAATGTTTCCTCGTTGCTGAACAAAGGTTATTTATGCTGTCCGCTGATTTTAAAATATTGCTCAGCCTGCCTCTACGCAAGTTAAGTCAAGAGTCGTGTTTCAGGTTTCGTGACGTTTGTCTTTTTGTCTTTCCCGTAAAACTTGAAGCCTTGGGGCTGCTGAATGCATGGGATTGACGAATTCTGGTGGAATGTTGGAGAAACAGGTCTTGCAGCCCTTCAGTGCATGTCCACTGAGTTTTGCTTTGTAGTAGTTTGTCCCCTTTGTCTTTTGAGTTGTTTCTTCCTCCACCCCCCCCCCCCCTTCCCCCCCACTCCCACCCCTGTCTCCTCCCTGTCCCACCTCTCCTCTCCTCCACCACTTCCCACATTCAGGTCCCTCCAGGGCAAGCATCAAGTGCGCTGTGTAAAGCGCTGGAGACACCTGCTCTTCACAGAGTCAATGGGGGCAAAAGTGTTGTCCTTGAATTCAGGAAGAGAGAAAGAAGGAAGGAAAGAAAGAAGGACACACAATCAGACAGAACGAGAGAGAGAGAGAGAGAGAAAAAGAAAGAAAGGAAGAAAGGAAGAAAGCAAGCAAGAAAGCAAGAAAGCAAGAAAGGAAAATTAGATTACGGTAACAACTGTCAAATGTAGTGACTGTTTTTATACACTGGCAATCATAGCCCTCAGTAAGGCCCCACCAACAACCACAAAGTGACAGACCACTATATCTGGTGGAATGCTTCCCCTGGCCATTAGGAGAAACTTCTTTAAGCATGCCGTGGGATCTGAACAACAGACACGTTAAGAAGCTATAATCTTTAACAATGGTGTCCTCTTGCCCAATAACAACTACACTAAATCTGGGTGATTAGTGATACTTCCTGTCACTGCAATTTCATCAAATGACAGGCTCAACATTTGGAAAACAAGAATATTTCTTGTTGGTTTTGTTCCCTCCCGAGTGTTTAGCCAAGCTGTGCCCGTAGAATCAATATTACAATCGCTTACGTTGATGCTCTTAAACTTTAACTGAATCACTGGCTTAAGTTAGTCAATCAACTGGATCTTGAGGTTTAGCATTGTTCATCACTTAGCAACGTCAAGCAGTCTGTCAGCGCTCTCATCTGCGGTTGAGACTTTGTGGATTCAAGCACCACATCAGGAGTTTGAACACAACAGCGTGGTTGACCCTCCAGTGCACTGCCTCATTGTCGAGAGGTATGATAAGACGTTAAACTGAGGTCCCGTCTGCCTGTCTACCGCTATTTGAAAAGAGAAGGGAATTTCTCTCTCCCGGTGTCCTGTCCAAAAATCCCCCTGGTAAAATTGGGCACTCGCTCCATGGCTGTTTGTGGGACACTGTTGTGTGAAAACTAGTCACTTTTGCGACCAGTTTGGTCACTCACTTCACATTAAAATCCTGTGAAGTGCTTTGAGATGTGCTGCCAACGTGAAAGGTCCTACATCAAATGCAAGGATTATTATTACATTAAAAACTACTTATCTCCTCTTTGCAAATGCAAATAAATTATTATTATAAAAATAAAGATCAGAGAATCAGCCTTAGAGTGAAACAGTAACATATAAACCAGCTCATAACACCCATAAGCACTGACAGGTAGCTGTCAGCACAGCAGTGGTCCTGGAGTCAAGGGTGGGGGCAGAGAGGTAGAGTTGCGTGTCATCCTCATAGATGTGGAAGTTGACCCCATGTCTGCGGATGATGTCACCAAGGGGGAGCATACAGATATTGAAGAGGAGGGGACCGAGGACAGAGCCCTGAGGAAGGCCGCACAAGACAGTCCGAAGGCTAGAGGAGAAACCGTTTGAGGAGATGAAGTGCAGGTGGTATGAGAGGTACGATCTGAACCAGTCAAGGACAGAGACGTGGAGGTTTGAGCTGAGAGGAGAGGCGGTGGATGAGGATAGAGTGGCCAACAGTGTCGAAAGCAGCAGAAAGGTCAAGGAGGACGAGGAGGCAGAAGGAGCCCTGGTCACGGATGGACAAAATGTAATTTGTCACTTTGACCAGGGCTGTCTCAGTGCTGTGGGCGGCACGGAAACCTGATTGGAGGGATTCGAGAAGGGAATGGCAGAGAGAAAGAAGCGAAGTTGAGAAGCACAACTAATTCCAGGACCTTGGAGAGGAAAGGGAGGTTGAGATGGGGGTTTTAAGCAGTTTTTAAAGAATTGGGAACAGTACCAGAGGACAGGGAGAGGTTTACAATGTCAGTGAGTAGAGGGGCAAGGAGGTGGAGCTGGGAGGTAAAGAGGGGGGTAAGGATGGGGTCGAGGGAGCAGGTGGTGGGTTTCATACGGGTTATGAAGGTGATGAGAGAGCAGGGGGAGACAGGTTCAAAGGTGTGGAGGGAGGGATGGGGAGGGGCCGGGGTGGGAGGAGGAAATGGGGAGGGGATAGCAGATGCAGTAGCAGAGGCAGCTGAGCAGATTCCCTCGACTTTGGATTTGAGGAAGTCCAGCATCGCCTCGCAGTTGACATTTGAAATGAGAATGGGTGAGGCATGAGAGGGTGGACGGAGGAACCAGTTCATGATGGAGAAGAGGAGCCTGGGGTTGTTCTTAGTCTCCAAGATTCTCTTGGAGTAGAACAATGATTTAGCGGAGGCGAGGGCAGAGCAGTAGGATTTGACGTGCTCCAGCCAAATCTGCCGATGTGGACAGTTAGGTTTGATTTAAGTTGGAACGCTCCTGAGCTTTAAGGGAGCAGAGGTGATTTGCGTGAGTAGAAGAGGGTTCGGGAAGCGAGAAGAGCGAGGGAATCGAGAGTGGAGGAGAGGGAGCTGTGGAGAAGAGTGACCGAGGAGGATAGGAATTGTGGGAGGACTCCCAGAGGGGAAGGATTCAGATGACTTCAAGGCAGCCGAGAGGGAGGGGGGAGGGGGAGATTTTTTTCCAGGGGCGGTTGGAGGTGGAGGTGGGTTGGATGGCGGTGGGGAGAGGGATTGAGGAGTTAAGGGAGATGAAGTGATGGTCCAAGATCATTTTGTCATAGGAGAGTGGAGATGTCGTGGAGGGCTTGGGGGGGCAGTAGA